AAAGAAACATCTTTTTGAAAACTTGGTGAAATAGTCAGAACTCTACTGTCTTCCTTATTTTAACCTAATCAAACATGTAATTGTAAACCCAATTCATTATTTATTTTTGGGAGTTGCAAGGTAGATTGTTATACGACTTTGGATAGAAGATAGAAAATTAAGTACTGATAATTTGAAACTTATGAATAAAAGAGCAAAAAAATTACAACCTCCAACAGATATTAGAAGAATTCCTTATAAAATTGCTACAGGAGAAGGATTTTCTGGATATACTGCAGACCAATGGCGAATATTTATAATGATATATGCTACTACAATTACCTGGGATTTAATAACAGAACCAAACTGGTATATTTTTCAAACTTTGTTAGGGCATGTAATTTGTTAGTTTGTAGAATATTAGGTAAAGAGACACTTAATAAAGCTCATCAAAGTTATTAATTGTAGTTAAGTTAATAGTTGAACTATGGTCCTAAAAAAATTACTTCTAATATTCATTTAAGTTTGTATTTGTGTAAAAATTGTATAGATTATGGTCTATTGTATTCATTTTAGTATTTTTCCTTTGAGTATATGAATAGAATCTTAGGTAAATATCGGGTGATTGTATACAGTATTATATTATGTAAAATACTTACTAATATATATAATTTATATTTTATAGGCTTATATAAAAGTAGCTATAGGAATATAGAACCTGAACTTTTGAGAATTATTTTTACGAATAAATGTTTGGATAAAATAGTATCACATACTGGAAATGAGAACAGGCTATCCAATTCTCTTACAATACTAAAGGAATGAATATCGGATAGTAGCATGGCTATTCCAGATAAATTTGAATCACAAGATCTTCTTCAATTTTATAATTTAAGAAATATTATCAATCAAAGAAAAGCCTTTGGTTATGAATCATTCCCTGGTACATTTCTTGATCCAAAATTAGAAAATGCAATGTTACAACCCAATATTCAAAACCTGTTAGTTAAATTCTATAATGTGGCAGATCTAGGCTATCAATTCACTAAACCTAGAAGTATATTAAGAATTGATCAGATATCTGTAATTCCTGCTATTATTCAATATAGAAGGTTAAAGTTAGGATCAGAAATTTTTGGATCTACATTCTCAGCTTGCTTATCAAATCTTCAAGAATTCTAGCAAGATTTGTTGCTTTAGAAAATGAATCAGCAGATTCATATCCTGGTCAGGTTTAATTCTACTTTGATCATACTATCTATTTTCCTTCTGGTGAACAAACATATCATCTTGCATTTGTAAGATGGTATAAACCTGCTGAAAATTATGAGACAAGGTTCTATATGAAAATTAAATGTGATGATCTTAGTTGTAATGTAGAGTTGTGAGATCAAGAATTTTATGAGTTAAGCAGGGACTGTATAATTCCTATATATCAGATATATTTCTTGTTCATAGTAGGTACATATAATATTGATATTAAAAAGAATCCAAAACCTATATAACTGTAATTCCTTTATATAAAAAGTACAATTTATAAATACTGATATTTAAAGTAGCATTTTTATTTACATATCAGTATATATTATCATATTCATATCAGTTTTATATTAGTTTATAGTTTTTTTTATTTATATAAATGCTAAATATATTTATTTGATTTGGTGTTAATATTATAATTTTTCATATTTTATTTATATTTAAATTAAATTATTTTATAACTATAATCTGGTGCTTGTCAACCTTATCTGTTGTAATACTTACTTTACTAATAATCATTTTTATCTTATATGGTTATTAGCAATTAATTAGTTGTGTGAATAAGCTGTTTGTAAATGACTCAATAAGTAGGGCAGAACCATAAATTCAGGTATTATTGTTAGAAGCAATTTAGATACTGGAAATTTTTTTAATAAATTCTCCCATCAGAGCTAAAATGACATATCCTGATCATCCAAAATATTGTTTTTTGTTTTTTTAATATATATTAATTATTGTTCTATAACTTCATTAATCATGTATCATGAATAGCACTTTGGATAACTGGAATTTACTATATATCATTTTAGCTCTACTCCCAATATTAATGTATAAAAATAATGACAAGTAAAAAATATATAATTTCTCAATAAATATATCATGACAAACTCTTATATTACAGATATTGATGTTACTAAATTCATATAATCAGGTTTTTTAAATAAAATTCTTGATATTTATTATTGAAATTTTATCTAAAAATTCCCAATATTATTATATTATATTTAAATCATATTACAGTTATATAACTAAATTTGATTGTAATAATATTAGAAATTTTTTATCAAAAATTCCTAATATTAGTGTATAACAGATGTTATATATTAATATTAGGATGTTTTTTTGATAAAAAAAATTCTCGATATTACTTGCATAAAGTATAGCATAACATGTAAAAATATTGTAATTTCTCAATAAAATATTGCTGCTAAGTCTTGATATTGATGTAATTAAAATATCATTTATTTCATCAATGCTTATTTCACCTATACATTTTGTGAAGAATATATCAATCTATTTTACCAACAATATGTAATTTTTAAAGTGTTAAAAATATAAATAAGATAAATTTCTTCTTCTTGTTTTATTTACAATTCTTTTTCAGTTTTGTTTTATCTGTAACTCTTACTTTCTCACTTATTTTTTCACCAGTAAATTCTTTTATATTAAAAAACATGGCTAGTGAAAGAGTTGTTTTGTATAGAAGAGGACAATGCAAAGAAAAAAAGGGCCTGTTATGGCCCAAGGAAGTGGAAGCAAGAAAGGACATTCTTTGTCTTCAGACTTATCTTCAAAAGGTAACATATTGATCAGAAATTTTATATATTGTAATTTTGTGTATTGTAAAGCAGGCTATATATATA